CTCTAGCTGTGTTTTTCCAATATCTGTGCAGGCAAAGGGAGAGCAAGGATTGTCACTTTCCAAAATCCAGAACCTATGACTTCTTTGGTATTAAAATTCACATTCACAGGTAAAAAGAGACTATGGGTTTAACCATTTAAATTTGTTCTCTCTTGGTCTCTGAAAGCCTGCTAACTGAGCTCCTGTGTTATTGATGGGACCTGAAGACTAAAACATCTACCAATTGCCTATACATGACTTAAACAATTAAGGATAATAAGCATGCAGAGGTGAAGAACCAGGTATTGCATACCACAGATGCCCATTGAAGATGCTTGCTAAATGTTCTTCCTTTACTAATCTGAAGGGCTATATCTTCCACATATATGGCAGGGGTGGCAAGTATGATGCTCATTGAAAATAATATGTCCATCCATACATCCCTTGGTGTCTATCAGGCTCACCCGTCTTTAAAAAATATATCAATAAATAGAAAGCTGGCATGCTACAAAGCACAGCACCAGCACTATATTTATTGGCAGCAGTTCATGGTGATGATAGACAGCATCATAGGAAGCTGGTTTATCTTCTGGCAAATGGGTGTTTTGTGATCAGCTGTGGTTAGCATGGCAGCCCTTTTGTGAATAGGGAAGTTTCCTGTGATAACCATTTTCTGATATAAGCCCTACAACCTCAAAATGCCCGCTAGTTCCTAAAATGTTGCCTGTTTCTATAAACCACATTCCTTCAAAGAATCTGCCCAAGAAATAGCAGATTGGTCTTAAGGGGTTACTGAAAATATCAGATATCCTTTTTAAAATAGGCTTTACTGAAAAATCTTTCTGCAGTCCCTAACAGAAAGTGAGTTCTACAAAGAGTTGGCTGTTACTTAACACAACAAATTGTGATAAATTGTATCTTTTTTTAAAAAAAAATTGATTTATATGCCACCCTTCTCCGGAGACTCAGGGTGGCTTACAATGCGTTAAGCAATAGCCTTCATACTTTTGTATATTTATACAAAGTCAGCTTATTGCCCCCACAAACTGGGTCCTCAATTTACCTACCTTAGAAAGGATGGAAGGCTGAGTCAACCTTGAGATTTTCAATGCAAGAAGCCTAAAAGATTATTATGTATCTGTCAAAAAATAAGACAAAGTAATCATCTGGGGAAAAGAATTTGCATATTCCCATTTAAATTGGAAGGTGTAGACTTCCACTTGCAACATCAGTAGCCATGGATTACATTTTTCAGAAAATGGCTGTTACATTGTACAGATCTCTGATGACATACACTGACTTCATTGCCAAGGTTTATATAGATTAAACCTTCCCATAAAATGAAGATTAGCTTTGTAAATATTTCGGATTATCTGGGAAGCAAATTTCAATGCCATAAAAGCAGGGGTGGGTTCTACTTACCTTTACTACCGGTTCGCAATGGGACCGCATGTACATGCTCAGAAGCTTCTTGATGATGTCTGGGTCGGGGGTGGAGCCTCCCGCCAGTTTTACTACCAGTTCTTGCGAACTGGTCCAAACCGGGGGCAACCCACCACTGCATAAGAGCCACATTCCATTTTAAACTAATCCTGAATGTCACTTTTTTATTAAACAAACTATAAAAGTTGAGGAACTGAAATACTACCATTGGATGAGTTATATAGAAAAGATCAATATCTTCTATATACTATTAAACTCTCATGTCTGAAACCTTTAACTGGGTGAAATGGTGCATCATAATTTTTTAAAAAAATCAACCGAAGTATCTCAAATGGGCTAACTTACAAAATGTGTCCAAAATCCAGAACCTATGACTTCTCTGGTATTAAAATTTGAAAAATTTTATAAAACATTTTATGACATAAAATTATCATGGGTCCATGCTTTTATGCATGTTATCTGCTATCTAATTTCTTGACAAAGCCAAACTTTATTTTGCAGTTATTTTGAATGTTTGAATAAAGAAACAAATTAATACTTATTAATTTAGCACTAAAGGTCAGATTCATCATAAATATTAATTACAGCAGCTTTTTAAAAATAACCTAAGAATAACGACTAACTGTCCTAGATCCAGGCCAGTCTATTAATAAACTTCAAATCATGTAGGAATTTGTATACATCTAGCACATTTCAACCCTCCCAATGTTTAAACTGCATCCAACTAAGAGTTCTAGCAAAAAGCACTTTGAGGTAATAAATAACACCACTTTTGTTTATGCTGTTTATAATCTGATCGATGATAAAAGAAAAATGAGAGGAAAAACTCTCTCTAAATTTAGATGCAAAAATGGCACAATTTACCTTTTAGATGCTTTAGCAATAAAAATGTGGATGGATATTATTGAATTATTCTTGCATATGAAATATAATTGTTCTCTTATAGTAAATTTTGACATTGTTTTTGCTTTAATACTACCTTATGTAACATAATTGTTTTAAATGTTAAAAGAAAACCTTTTAGAATTTTTCCTATAGACAGTTTCTGACAAAATGTGAAGGAAATCCATATTTGAATTAAGTGTTAAAATAGTTTGTAGCAACATCATTTTAGGATTACAAGATAGGCCATGCTCATTTGACTGAAAATCTGATTGTTTGTAGTTTTTGACCAGGCAGAATTAAATTCAATAATGAAACATTGGTTTTCCTGGATAGTTTTTACATGAAATTTATGGAAAATTCATTTATTTTTCCAATATTTTGTTTTGGTTCAGTGAGGAAAGCGATTGACAAAACCTTGTAGATTGCGTATATGATTTCAGAGCTACTGATATAATTTAATGTTGATATGCACTACATTGAAACTTTTTGTAGAATTTCACTCATTATTTCCCTTCTGCAAAATATTCGATTCTATTTATCCATTCCTCTATAGACATCAGTCTAGGTCTAGAGAACAGTTTCACTACCAATGAGATTGTTTTTCTCTCCCATTAATTAAAAAGTAATAATACGATTTTTCAAACACTGCACTTTTTCCCAACTTCTTCTTTCTTGTAAGTATCTACCAAAAGCTACCAAATTAAAAATTCTGGAACTGAAAGGCCTACAAAGCAACATGACTTCCTAGAGGTTGAACCCTCAGTTGGAATCCTGAATTTAATCTCTGGTGTAGGTGTATTTCTTAACTCTAAGACTGAAAAAGTAAACATTGGACAGAAATTCTGGATCTAATTGGGATTTGCTACATATTATCAATATATATTTACAAGTACATCTGATCTATATGCTAGCTGGGGAATCCTAAGATACTTTCAGGCATCCAAGAAGTTATCTGCGATCTCTAAGTAGATTGATCCATACTGTTATTGGTGAAATATAGGGAGATTTTTGATTAAGAATACAAGCCATCCCTTTTTTTAAACGTGAAGTATTAATACAACCTACATTCATACATCTATTCCTGTAAACCTTTTTTTCTAGGTCTTTTGAAATACTTTTATATAACATCAAAGCATTGTTGTGAGCTACTTCATAGTCTGAATTGCAGTGTTCAGTATGAAATGCATACCTTAAGTTACTAATGCTCAGCCGCAGACACATTCCACCTACAATATGGAACTTTTATTTGTTTTGAAATTTTCATAAACAAAGTTACGATTTTACACTGTGCACTGAATGCTTCCAGAAGCATTAAAAGCGGACTATAGCTAAGTGTTGTATTTCTCTAAGGTCTTATACACACTCTTATTACAATTAGTTTTATTCTGCGTCTCAGTATAAAGCTTCGCAAAGAAGCTTATAAACAGTATAAAGCTTCATAAATAAAATAAAAGTATTTAAGGATCCAGAAGAAACAAAGCAGTTGACGATAATGGGTCTATGTAAAGGTCAAGAGTCCAGGATGAGTTTTACCTGCTTTCTTCCCACTCTCTAAAACTCCATTCTTTTTTGAGTGTGATTATTTCCATTTCTAGAAAACGTAAGCCTTGCAGCTTGAACGAGGAAATGTTCTACCCAGCACAATTGAAATAGATTTTTAATCTCTCTCTCTCTCCATTCTTTCAACAAAGAGGAAGGGGCTGCCCAAAAAATCAAGATGGCAGTCATAACTACTTCAAAGCCAAACCCTTTTATGCGCAATTCGTATTTTAAAAAGGACCTGAGCTATTATACAATTAATAAGTTGGAATGGCTTACGCCTGGAAGTTGTGGGAGCTCCATCACTGGAGGTTTTCAAGAAGAGACTGGACAGCCATTTGTCCAGAATAGTATAGGATCTCCTTCAATGGGCAGGGGATTGGACTAGAAGACTGCCAAAGTCCATTCCAACCCTATTATTCTATGTTCTATGAGCTATAATTACATGGTTGTGGTCCCCATTGTGATTTTTTGGGAGACATCTCCATAAAAGTGCTACTTGGTTTCTCCATTGCCCTCAACTAATAGTGTTCCACAGCCTTAGAATAGATTCGATTGTATTGGCACAACTGTTCCATTTAAACTATTGCTTTTTTTTTCCTGAAGGGATTATCTAAGATTAAATTTATTGATGTTAATTTTTTCTGAATGTTATATATTAAAAGAACATACGACTGGGTTATTTGCCTGTCTCCCATTGTTCCTGCATAGCCCACCAGATCTAGGAGAGATGGCCTGCTCTGGGTCCCTTTCATCAAACAGTGTCATTTTGTGTAATCCAAAAAGTGGTTCTTCCTCTCTACATTTCCTGTTGAGGAAAAATGAACTCAGCAGCATTCCAGTAACTAAACATGTTTAGCTTACATTGTTTTGTTTTGGTTCCCAATTTAGTCCCTCTGCACTTTTTAGAATTTTTGCTCCTGTTTACTTTGAGCAATGCCATTTGGTTATATGCACGTAAGGCTAAGATTCAGATTGGGGAAAAAATGAGAGTCCTGCAATAAAACATTGCAGTGTAATGCTTCTCTTTGGATAAATCATTCCATTCTCTCCAGATTTTCTGTTTTTTCAGTCATCAGCATTGTATCAACACTGATCGCACTCATTTCTTAGTACGCGTTTTTTAAAAAATATATCATTTTATTCTCTTTCAGGCTTCTTCGTACTTCTGCAAACATTGTGATTCCCACCCGTCTTGTATTTCATGGATCTCCAGGCCACTTTGCAAACCTCTTCAAATAAAGAACTCGGGGTAAAATTATTTGAGTACACATTTTCTATTACATCCAATACACTGCTAATATTATCTTTTAATTGTCTTTTAGATAAATCCACACTGATTTTCATGAACAAACTCTTGTATAGTTTATTCATGAATATTTTTAGCCTACCTGCCATAATTGATGAAAACACTTTTTAATCATTGTTCAATAAAGAAATTGGCCTATAATCTTTAGTAAAAGTTAGATCTTGACCTTCCTTTGGTAACTATGCAGTACAGGTAGTCCACAATTTATGATAGTTCATTTATGGACCATTTGAATTTACAACGGCACTGAAAAAAAATTAACATGACTATTTTTCACACTTAAGACCTTTGTTGCATCCCCATTGTCATGTGATTCACATGCTTGACAACTGGTTCATATTTATGACAGTTGCAGTGTCCCGGGACACTGTGATCATGTTTTGTGACCTTCTGACTAGCAAAGTCAATGGGGAAGCCAGATTCACTTAATAATCGTATTACTAACTTAACTACTGCAGTGATTCACTTAAATGTGGCAAGGAAAGTTGTAAATGGGACAAAAGTCACTTAACAAATTTCTCACTTAGCAACATAAATTCTGGGCTCAATTGCAGTTGTAAGTTGAGGACTATGTGTATTAGCGTTGGCCTCTTTCCAAGGTTCTGGCATTGCGTCTGTTCGTAAAATAGAATTCATCATTTTCTGAAGGGGTTGCAAGAATTGATCTTCAAAACATTTGAAGAATGTTTTACATTTAAGAACCTGGTAGTCCATTCAGCCCTGGTTGTATGTCAACTATTTACCAGGTTTATTTGCAAACTCAAAATTCTTCTGTTTTACATATTTCAATTTTTTCCTATACAGATAATATAAATAGTTATTGTAGAAGTTTAATCTGATATATAACTGTTGCAGTTATCAGTGTCTTCTGTAACTCTTCTAATTTCTTTGAGTTTAACTTTGGCCAGTCAGTCTTTCTCAGCCCAACTCATCTCACAAGATTGTTGTTGTGGGGAAAATGGAAAGAAGTGTTCTGATTTAGGCTTCCTTAGAAAGTATAAAAGCACAATCTTAGTCCCGCAAAACCTCTTTGATTTATACGACTGTAAATTACTTTCATTTACAGTCCACAAGGCTTGATAAACACTCTTTCAGAGGAAGGTTATCAACACCCACCTATCTCATGTGGAACGCTGCCAGAGCTAATATCCAGATGCAGAGCAAGGTCAAACTTGGCACAGAGTCACAAACAGAATTTTCAAATCTTGAATTGGCCAGATGAACTAATTCCTTCCTGCAAAAGTTCACGTCCCATTCGCTTTTCTTTTATGTCTTATGGGAGGGGCCAATCATCTCCAAGCCTTACTCCCAAGTCGACCCTGTTTTCTTAATTGTTCCTGTCTTCTGGCAGCTCTGCGCATGTGCACACTGGGAACAGGCTCCCACTGTTCTTCTGGCTCGCTGCTGTCAGACTCCAGAGGCTGCACATAACTATCAGATGGCCTTGGCTCCCTCTCAGCCTCCAATGCAGAACCCTCGTCCGAGTTTTCTCCAGACCCCAGGACTGGCCCAAGTTCTTCCCCAACGTCCTCACTGTCCAATTCAGCTGCCAGCTCCGCTGGCCGCCGGCGGGCCACAACACAAAGAAGGAGTGTTATGCATGTTTGCCATCTTGAGTTATAATAAAAGTGGAATAAAAAGCTAATAAATAATTTCATACAAAGTAGCCTGCATTTTTTCTTGAGATTTCTTTTTTTAACTCTTGGTTATGTTGGATTAAAAAATAACCTCTCATAGAAGCTTTATTAGCACCCTAAATATCTTTAAGCCCATCCCTTTATCTAAGTTGTCAAAAAATTATTAGTTCCTTCCCACAGTGATCCATCATCAAATATTTCTGTAATAATCCTTCATTTATTTTGCAACTTCAGTGCATCAACCCTTAATCATGAATTGACAGTTTCTGTTCCTATTTGGGGGAATTCTGGGATCCTGTCTTAGCAGTGTGCTGGTCACTTCTGGAAAAAGAGACAAAATGCAGTAATCTAGCATTCAGAGCAAGAAATGCAACCAAGATTTGTTAATATTGCAAATAAAAATCCTTTGAATACATTTTGTTTTTAACTTTTAACAGTCTAACACCCGTCATACAGTCTACAATAAGGTTTTATTGAAGAGCAAAGGACAAATGTATGCCCCAAAACAGAGTATGAGATGGAAAGGTAGTAATTTTTCTGTGAAAGGGAATCAGGTTTGCACCTGAGTACAGATCAGACAGTTTTCAACAGATTGAAAGCAAGCATTGATTGGCAAGCAATAATCTGCTCAGTTATTGGCCAGAAAAGGCAAGCACTGATTGGCCGATAATTTTCTATGATCTCTGGACATCCAAGCATATAAACATGTAGCATCAAATATCTCAGTAGATCTGCAAATAATCAAAACATTCTGGATTAGATTTTGGGTTAAGAAAGATGGAGAGACTCAAAGCCTAACCATTTGAGAGACTTTGTGGTTTGCAGACAGAAAAAGGCTGGAATGAAGATCAACAGGGGCAGAGAGAACAAACCTTTCCATAGTATATGCAATGAGATAGGTTTAGGCAGATAAGATTAAACCATGCCTAATTCTATAAACTCTCTAACTGGGGTCTGCAAAAATAACTACCCTAAAAAAAAACAAACCCAAAAGCTCAACACGCTTTGCCAAAAATAACCACATGCCCTATTTGAAAATCACAGCTTTGGAGAGGCAAATTTTGAAAGTACCTTGAGGGAGTCTTTATTACAAAGCCTTAGGGCTGCAGGAAAGCATCCTGCAGGCTTTAGTTATTTCTGTGCTCTTAAACCATAGAAATCTCATCCAATTTGGAACCCTCCTTCAGCCCCAGGGAATTTCAGCCTTCAAGCTATAAATCTAACTGGTTTTCGGCACTGTCAAAGTTATGGTGTGAGTTTTGTGGACATTGTGCAGAATGTACACATTCTATATATTATTCTCCTCCTTTCTGAGGGCCCCATCCTAGCACAGACTTCACAGCTGGAAAAACAGCAGCATACTCTTATTTTTTTTAATTACTTGGAGTGACTTCTGTTTGATAGTGTAAAGTAATTTTGCATCAAAGACTTTCTTATATCCACAGATAGTGTCCCACAAATGTTTTAAATTGGGTTTCAAACAAGGGCAGAACTGATTAAAAAAGAACCAACTGTAAATAGTAAACACACTTGTCTAATTTGGGACTATAGTATAAAAAGAAGTAATTTTCTATGATTGATGCTGCAATAGTTTTGTTGCTGTTTTCAGGTTAAATTAAAAGCATAACTTGCACCCACAAGGATGCAGATCAGTGGTGGGTTGCTCCCGGTTCGGTCCGGTTCTTGTGAACCAGTAGTGATGGCAGTGGGAGGCTCCACCTGCCCACCCTGACTTCATCACTGACAATCTGTGCATGCGCAGAAGCAAGCGCACGCGCGAGCGAAGCATGGGTGCTCCCGTTGTGAACCGGTAGTAAAGATAAGTGGAACCCACCCCTGATGCAGATACTTAATTTCATACTAATCTTAATCCAGGGACCAAGACACTTCTCTACAAGAATGTAATAAAAACAAACCCCATCTAATAGTATTATTTAACAGAAAATTAATAGGATTTTCTGCAACTCTGCAAGATTCACTTTTGAGTAGCTTTGTATAAGATTGCTCCATAATGGTACATTTACACATTGCAAAATTATTATTTTTTAAAAAAAAATTCTATATTAATTCTATAGCTTAAGCACCACTGCTTTAAAAAAGTGTATTTAATTTAATTTACTGAATAAATTATTTCCAATCATAAAAAGAACCTGAAGAAAAACTTCAAAAAGAGACATATCAGTGAAGGTGTTTCTTTGAATATGGTATCTGTTGTGCTAAGACGTTAAATATAAGAATCAAACCTACCTGAGTTCATAAAATTGAAAGACAGAAAATACCTTTTAAAACAAATATGTATATTATAAAATATAATCTTTCTAGATGTTCACAGATCTGTTTGGTTTTTTTCCCCATATCTTCCCAGGTATTGATCTTAGGCTGATTGGTCTAATTGGTGCTGTGAAAATTTCTTCTCTGCAAGGCATATAGGGCAGTGGTGAAATCCAAATTTTTTTACCACCGGTTTGATGGGCATGGCTTGGTGGGCATGGTGTGGCTTGGTGGGCGTGGTTTGGTGGGCATGGCAGAGGAAGGATACTGAAAAATCTCTATTCCCTCCCCACTCCGGGGGGAAGGATATTGCAAAATCTCCATTCTCACCCCACTCTGAGGCCAGCCAGAGGTGGTATTGCCGGTTCTCCGAACTACTCAAAATTTCTGCTACCGGTTCTCCAGAACCTGTTGGATTTCCCCCCTGATGTAGGGAGTATTTTATTTTATTTATCTTTTGGCCACCTGATTCCCAAATGATTCTGGACAGCTTATAATTAAGATTCAATATGTATGTGTGTATGTGATCGTACCATATCTTATATCTCAAATCATATATACAACTGTCTGGAAGAGCAAAATAAAGCAGAACAAAACAGCCACAGAACAAAGAGAGGGCACAACCACCACACTGTCCAAAGGCCTGAGAGAACAATCAGATCTATAGCTTTCTGAACAATGTAAGGTTGAGATCTATATGAATCTCTGGGGAAAGATCATTCCATTGGCCAGGAATTGTAACAGAGCAGGTGTCCTTCCTGGGTCCCACAAGATGACCTTTAATCAACAGGACCTGACAAAAATAGCCTTAGGAAAATCTTAAACTTGTGAAGGATAAATGAAGATGCATAATTTTTTCAAAGGAAAATATATATCGCAATAGACGGGAGAGCACATCCTCTAAGCCAGAGATAGTAGATTACCGTGCTCAATATCCTAAGACATTAGAGAAGGGTTTATTTTGTTCTTTTTCCTCTAGGCAGAGCAATTCTAAGCGGGACCCCATTTCCATAATTTTATTTACAATTGGCAACCTCAATTCCATGAGTTATGGAAAGTTCTCACAGTAACAGTGAAAAGTAAAAGGGCTCCTGTATAATGGAAACCAATATAGAAAAAAAAAGAGGACCCAGGCTTACATATTTTTTGGAAAAGAGCCAGTTTTTAAATACCGAATAGAATATGATCCATCTAGCAATCTCCATAATGATTCTTTAAAAATAGACTGCATTATTTGCCATTCATCTTTAAGGCCCCACACCCATACGGAGGCCCCCGAGAAAGCTAGATATAAAAGGACTCCCACCCAAACCATGCGCTGGTTCTCTCTCTTATGTGTAGTCTTATCCAAACAGTTCTTATAATGATTTTGCAAACCCATGAAGAACATTACTCACAGTACCGCCATCTTTTCAGTGACAGCTTATTGGCCTTTACCCAAACCACCTAGTTCTTATGCCTTCACAAAGTACAGCACAGAAAAATTCTTTAAGTAACAGGAAGGTGTGAATATCTCATGGGGTTCAGGAAAGTACAATTGATGACCAACGGAAAAGAATTTGGCTGTCTGCAGAAAGGTCTACGTTGAACGAGTCATTTCCAAGATTTTGCCAAATAGCTCTGTAAATATTTCACACTTTTAAATATATATATGTGTGTGTGTGTGTGTGTGTGTGTGTGTGTGTGTGTGTGTGTTAAGAGTCTAGCCTGAAAGAAGGAAAAAAAACCTAGACCATGTATCCTTTGACATGTTCTTAACTGCTGTTAGCAAGTCTGTTTTTCTTTGGAACAGGCAGCTGTAAGCCATTTAGGTTGCCATGGAGTATCCAGACCTCCTCTGAGAGAAGAAATAGTATGATGTGAGGATTGACTTCCTAGCTGAAATATCCTATGAGTGTAACCAGATGTACGGCAGCCCTAGTATCTGCCGATGGCTCTTTAGATAGACAATTCCCATGCAGAATTGGAATTTTACTCTAATGTTCCCCAGGGAGTGTGTGAGAGCAACACAAATTTCAGCTTGAAGTTAGAGAAGAGACAGCTGGAGTTAGCTAAACCAAGATGTGGCCTTGAAGATTCCACAGCAGCAGCTGTTGTCTGAGAGTCATGCAGAATTAGCAGCTGTGCTGCCTGCCGAAGACACCTGTTTCCATCCCCTGTTTGTATATTTGTAAATGGAGCAAATGTTACAAAGCGAGCCCTGTTTAAAATGACCTCTTATCTAAAGGAAGCTAATGGAACAGCTTGCTAGTAAAGGAAAAGTAATATTATAATTATTACTGCAATATTATTACTCTTCCTATAGATTTCTTGAAGGGTTGATGTCTCACATATGTTAGTGCTGGTTACTGCTTAATTATGTTCCTTCTGTAGGATTTGCATTTATTTGCACTATAGTCTATTGCACTGTTTCTTAACCTTGGTAGCTTTAAATGTGTGAGATTATGGGAGTTGAAGTCCACACATCTTAAAGTTGCCTAGATTGAGAAGCACTGATCTAACAATAAACCATTCATATTTTCTTCCATGAACCATGATGATGCTGTTGCATTCCCTTCATTGAGCATCATTATGAATCTCAGATTATGGCTTCTAACGTAAGAGTTAATACATTTGAGCAGAACATTCACCTAGTGTGGCTTACAAATTAGGCCTTTCACTTGAATTTTGAAATTGACTTTTTCATTAAGCATATTATAAGGGGAAAGTGAGGGTGTGAGTCTTCTGAATGACCTATGCATTTTGAAGGCTTGAA